CTCTCAATAGCATAAATGAAAAATATTTAATACTTGGGTTTTACTAATATTGCTAATATCACTGCATTTAATGCTGGAGTATAAATTACTGAAAAATGGTAAATATAATTTGCAAGTATTGGAGAAAGTTATAATTTGTCCTAGAATAGCTTATTTGGGAAACAGAGAAAAGACATTGTTGTAAATCTCATATTTGATCCTAGGTCTTTGTTCCCATCAACTTTGCATTATTAATGAATTAGGACTCAGTTATTGTCAAAAAAATATTTGTACTAAGGGTACTTATTAACATAAAGCTTATCTCGCTATTGTGTGCACTTAAATCTCTAGGAAAAAAATACAAAAACTAACTCAGGCCTGGATCTACAGCAAAGCAGCCACATATATTATTCAGAAGTAAAAATAAGAGAAAATATTTCTAAACAGTGTGAGCACTGAAATTTTTTTTTGATGTTGAAAAATAAACTGCAGTCATTCGGATGTTCTTCAGAATCAAAGGCATGTTCCTCTCCAGTGGCTAATAGTGTCCGTTTTTTCCAGCTGTCTACATCACCATCCCAGTGGGAAAGTGACTTGGCCCATGTTTCCGTGCAGAATGTTAAAACAGCATTTGCATCTCTCACTGCTCCTTTGCTGTTATCCTTCAGTTGCATAATGAAAATGCCTGGTCCTGAAATGCCAGGGTGAACACAGCCTGATTATAAAATGTGCTGTGGTGAATCATCAGAGAGACCCACACACACCTCACTTAGCAGGATACAACAGCACAACTCCTCGGCCCTTTTTGGAGATAAAAGCGCACATTGTGTTACCCCCAACTATTTTGTGTTAGTGATATTGTCTATGACCTGGTAATAGAATGGGACAATTAAGTCCATTTTCTCAGTCAACATTTATGGAGCACCTACTGTGTGCAAAAAGCTGTGTGATCAATTTGCCTTGGGCAAACCCAGGACTTTCTAGTTTTAGCATTGAAAATTCAGTGTCCTACAATCCCCTATGACCTAGGCAAACTGAGATGACTGGTGACTAGACCTGCACTCATCACTGAGGAGAAATACAAATTAGTAACTTGTCCTTTCATCAAGAAACATGTGATCTAAGAGACAATCAGAAAAGTAAGCCAGTTATAAGTCTGGAGTGATCAGTACTTAGAATCATGAGCAGAGCATTGTGGGACACAGGAGGTTGAATCTGGGGACCAGAGGATGCACCTCAAAAGAAACAAAGCTTGAGTTTGACTTAAAGAATGATCAACACAACATACACAGTTAAATTTTGTGAATATTAAAAGGAGATATCTGTGGGACATCATGAAATATTATTCTTTCTTTGTGTGCATATATATATATATATATATATATATATATAT